TTACAGATTTGAGTTTGATAACTGGTGAAAAGGTGTCTTGAAAGTCCACTCCAGGCATTTGCAGATAGCCTTTTGCTACCAATCTAGCTTTGAACTTTGCTCGGTTCCCAATCTCGTCTTTTTTCTTACGAAACAACCATCTGGATGGTATTACCTTAGCTCCTGGTGGTTTCGTAGTTAGTTCCCAGGTTTGAGCTTGAGTGAGGTTCTGAATTTCTTCCTCCATGGCTTTTAACCACATGTCAGCTTCGGGTGATTTCAGGGCATCTTTTAGGGTTACTGGGTCCTTTTCTTCAGATTGTTGTACCTCTTGGGCATCGTACAGATAGAAGTCTTCGAAACGTTTAGGAATTTTGGTTTTTCTTTTTTCACATCTCTCACTTCCACATGTAGGGTTTCTGGCTGCTACTTCGATTTCAGGGTCTAGGTTATTAGCAACGTCTTGTATTTGAGCAACTGATTGGCCTTCATCTTTGTAATCTGAAGTATTTTCAAGCTGTATGTCTGGACATCTTTCGGAATTTCGATAAATTGGATCTGTATTGGGACATTCGGTTTCATCCAAGTTATTTACATCAGGAGTTATATAATCTAGAGATGAGTCACGAGCTTCTGTTTCAGGTAGGTCCAAAGGATATTCTGATTCAAAGTCTTGAATTTTAAGGGTAGCTCCTTCTGCAGGATTGTCACACTTGCTCAGTTTTAAAGGGAAAACATTTTCTTCAAAAATGACATCTCTGCTGACGAAAAAATGTTTCTTCTTCAGATCATACAATTTGTAGCCTTTAACTCCTTTAGGATATCCCACAAAAACACATTCTGTAGCTTTAGGATCAAGCTTGCTTCCTCTTGAGTGTGAGCGAACATGGCTCCAGGCTCTGCATCCAAAAACTCTGAGGTGGTCTGTTTTGCTTCCATACCCTGACCATCGTTCCACCGGAATATCGCCATCAATTGCCATAGATGGCCGCTTGTTGTGGAGATAGGCCGCAGTGGCCATTGCTTCAGCCCAAAACCTGTGATCTGCTCCGGACTCAATAAGCAAGCATCTTGTTGTGTTGATCAATGTTTGGTTCAGTCTTTCAGCCAGACCATTTTGTTGAGGCGTGTCAGGTACAGTTAGTTGTCTTTGGATCACATGCGCAGCAAGGTACTTGTCAAACTTTCCACTTATATATTCCCCACCATTGTCACTTCTCAAGAATTTGATTTTTCTGTTTTGGAGATTTTCTACCATGCAACGGTACTCCTCAAATTTTTCTAGTACGTCACTTTTGGCTTTCATAGGGAATGCCCGTGGTATAGTGAGAAAATTCATCCGTGAAAGTCACAAAGTAATTTGAGCCTCCAAAGGAAGGGGGAGAAATTTTGCCAACAACATCTGAATGTATAACTTCTAGGATGTCTTTAGCTTTTGTACTAGCGGCTTTTGGAAATTTCTTCCTTTTCATTTTTCCCTGAATACAAACTTGGCAAGGTTCATTTGCTAATACTGTTGATTTCAGGTTTCTGTCGATGGGGACAATATTGTTTTGTTGTACAAGAATGTGGATGACCAAGTCTACGATGCAGCAAGTCGGCCACTTTCAGTTTTCGTAGCGTAGGCAGTTGCCATCTTTTCTTCGATTATGTATAGTCTTCCTTTTTTCTCACCAGATAAAAGAGTATCTCCATTCTTATCAATCACTTGGCTTTTCCTTCAGCAAATTCTACTTTTAAGCCTCTTTCTTCAATTCTACCAATGGATAATAGATTTCCTCCTAGTTCTGGAACATATAGGACATTTTCAATAGTGATGTTTTTTTCTCCGTCTTCTTCTCCAACAGAAAATGAAATATTTCCAATTCCAGTGACCTTTATTCTTTCTGAATTAGCAACTTCAACTTCAGATGTGTACTTCTTAAGGACTGAGAATTTTCTTTTATCAGAGGTCATGTGTTCTGTAGCTCCGCTGTCTAAAATCCACAGATTACTTTTTCTTGATTTTTCTTCATTTGCCAGAAGTGCAATGTTTGTCTTGTGTTCAACTGCAGTTTTGGCGCTGTTTTGTTTCTGATATTTGGCCTCTTCACAATTTTTAGATATGTGCCCCCACTGGCCACAGCTGAAGCATTTAGTATTTCTTCCTCTGTTAGTTTCTTCTTCATTTGGCCTTTTAGCTGCATACTTCTTCATGGGTTTTCCAAATGCAGGCTTCTTCTGGTTAGTGGCAAAACTTTTAGTGTGAAGAGCTTGTTCTTCATGATACACTTTGGCTGAACTCTCATTTCTGACTATACGTTTCTCTTCTACGAGTAGCCTTGGTTTCACAATTGTAGTTGTCAGATTTGCTTCATCTTTTTCCAAACTTAGGATAAGCGATTCATAACTTCTAGGCAGTCCCAACAGCATCACTAGGGCCACTTCTCTATCTGTGAATGCATATCCACCATTAGCTAATTTTCTATGTAAGTCCATTAATCTTGCTAGATAGGATTGGACAGACTCATTTGGCTTCATATTTATGTTAAAAAATTCTCTCATAAGCTGCAGTACGTGAAGCAAACCGAATTTTGTATGCATTTCTTTTAAACAGTTCCAGGCGTCTCTGGCTCTAATACAATCTCCGATATCATCTAGAAATGTATCTTCAACTATGAGGAATAATAGGGTAAGAGCTTCGTCATTCTTTTTCCTCTCCGCTTCATTCATTTCAATTCCATATCCGGGTTCCACTGCTTCCCAACATCTCTTCTGCACCAGCACGGCACGCGAACGTATACACCATGTGTGATAATTATCGCCGTTTAGTTTCGGCATTTTATAATCTTCAGATGTCATTCTTTTAAAGAAAATATATCGAGCTAAATTCACCAGGAAAAAATTTTATTTACTTCGTTCAAAGGATGGTTATCCAGCTCACTTCAGATTCACAACGTGGTTAGGCTTCGGCGATCGGCGCGGTTAGGCTTCGGTGCGATCTTCAATCCTGGATCATTAATGGCATTTCCTTTTGAGCTTTTCGTGCTGATAACGTGTAAAAATTTAAATTAGTTCGTGGGTTAAATAAATGACATAGTCCAGGTTGAACAAATAAAAATATATTGGGAATATTTTAGGTTACATGGGAAACGAGCAACCACAGCTAATGCACACCAGATAAGGACAGACACGACAACAAAACTGTTGTTGCCAATTCTCATAAAGTAAATATTGGGACTGGCACATTTACATATATTTTTAACAACCAAGAGAAGGGGTGGATGACGGAATCATTAATGCTTGATTGGCTCCGAAATGTATGGGAACGCCGTCCCGGTGGGCTCTTCAATCCACTATCAATGCTTTGTCTGGACGCAGTTCGTGGTCATCTCACCGACGACGTAAAAAGGAAGATGCACAGCCTAGGCAGTGATCTTGTTTTAATTCCTGGAGGGATGAAGTCTGTGTTACAACCCCTGGACGTTATTATAAATAAACCTTTTAATGGGTACGTTCAGGCGGAGTACAAAAAATGGTTTTGTGAGCCAAACCGTGAATTGACCCTGACAGAAAAAATAAGCGTGCTGCACCGCACATTGTTGCACACTGGGTTTCTGCTGCCTGGAAAAACATCGAAGCATCAATGATTATGAAATCTTTCAAGAAATGCTGCATTTCAAATTCATCGAATGGCAGTGAAGATGACGTGCTCTGGAACGCCGACGATGATGAGGATGAGGAAAGAAGAAATGAATCTGCTTCTGACGAAGAGAGCTGCGAGGATTCCAGTGATGAAAACATTAATGAATAAAGACGTTTACTATTAATCACTGATTCTAGAAACTGTTAGCTAGATAGAAATATTACGATTTATTTCATGTTCATATTTTATGATAGATACCGTATATAAGGTAGTGGTAATTAACAATGATTGTTTCACATAACAATAGCCCACTAATAGGTTAATTCTATGTTCTGCTACTTTACATATAAATTCATTGTTGTATAAAATATGGTATCTCAATTTAAATAAAATTATCATACCATTGATTGATAGTTTATATGGCAAATCCATTGTTGTATAAAATAAGATTCAATAAATTCCTCATACCATTGATGCGCATTACATTCGCCGACAAACAGTTTTTTTATTATTTAAAGTTTTAAAATGGGGATGCGCATTAGATTCGCATAAATACGGTATATCTCTCTTTACAAAAATCAAACCAGTTTTTGAGAATAAATAACAACAAAATGCTTACAAATGAGTTGGGACATCATGCTTATCCAATATTGGCACTAAATCACACTGTCTGGCAACAGTACATATGTATTAGTATTACGTGCTCTATAATGGCATTACAAATCTCTCATTTACTTCTTTTTTTAATTCTAAAATATTCCCGTTACTTGATTTGACTTTTACTATACATAAAATCTAATTGCAGTCTATTATTCGGCTTTCCAATGTCTTTACAGGATGCTTAATGGCTTTTGCTTTCAAGGCTGGTTTTATTTTGCAATAAGGGATACTTGAAGCTCAATCTCTCTTTGGGATCCACCACAAGATTCAACGTTTTGGACTTCTCATTAAAAAAATCTTTTAATTAACTTTTTTACTTAAAAATAAAGCCAAAAAAAATTTTTTTTACAGACTATAAGGTGTAATGGATAACATATAAGGCAGAATTCTTTACATCAAAAATAGCAAAAACATTTCAATTTTTTTTTTAATTTTTGCAAATTTTCAGTGATATTAAAAATGGGTATTGATTCCTTTTCTTTAGTTGCATTTATCTGTTTGTAAAACAAACAGATCACTGAATACTCACATGTTATGGTGTTATGGTTATGATAGCATCATTTAAATCTAAACATTTTACTAAATATAGGTGCCTTACAACAAAATACAAACAATTTTTTTTTTAATTTCTGAAATGAACTTTTAACTTGTTACTTAGCTCAAAACTAAGCAAATTTAATATACAAAATTACTCATAAAACTAAAAGCACAGACAATACAACATTTTATAACTTACAACAATACATGCGCTGAATTTTTTAGTTCGATGACTTGAGAGGCAGACACACGCATTCTATCCTCTACTGTAACATTAATAACTACAGCTGTGAGTTCTGAAGTAAACAGTGATGCAGGAAGAAAATATCTAGAAATATCTGGCGATGAAAATGCAGACGGTTCCCTTGCTCGGAAACAAGGCAAATGCTTGTGGGTAAGAGGAGTGCATGTCCAATGATACCTGAAATCGTAATATGAATTCTTCATAGAGCACTTTTTCTAAATTTAAAAATAATTTTGATTCATATGTTAATAAATACTAAATACTCATAACATAAAAAATTAAAAACCATAATAATAATATAATCAATACAATAAAAAAATGCAAGTAATTAAAAATTACCAATATTTTTCATGAAATTTTCATGAAAAATGAATGAATGAAATCAGACATTTTCATCAAAAATAAATTTAATAAAAGGAACAATCTTTCAATTTTTTGCAGAATACAATATATTGAAATACATTAAAATTATATACATATATATATATATCAAGCCATAGAAAATAATTATGAAACATAAAAAATAATAAGCTTTATAATGTAACATCAAATCATCAGATTTAGGAACACAATGTATCAGACATCAAGTTAAATTATTTAATTCTTTTGCAGTTGGTACTGTTAAGAAATTTTCTGATACTTGAATAAATGGAAGAAAGTATCCACACCAACTAAAGGGTTAACATAAAAGCTGATTAAATAATACTATCATTAACAAATTAACAAAAATTGACTAAAACATTAAATTCTATTCGCATTTTATTTTCTGATAAGTTCTTAGAAAAATACTGCGCAGTAATGCTCCGTTATTTCCTATGCTGTCACCAATAACTAATGAAGCAACGAAATTTATTAATATGGGTATTATTACTGCTAATCATAGATCCCCTAATATTTGAAATTTTCTACTTTGTTTCTAAAGTGATCTAACTAGAAAAATGTAACCAGTAAGATGATCTTTTTTTTTTTTTTTTTTTTTTTTTTTTTTTTTTTTTTTTTTTTGATGGACATTAACTTTTAGAGACTATTGCCATGACAAATATATCACAGATCGAAGAGTCAGAAGAATAGCATCTGAACAGTAACAGAAGCAAATGTGTGTACACTAGCAGTGTGTTCTTTACACACTAACAAAATCACAACAAACAACTGACTGAAAACTAATTATCTTCAAGATGTATTAAAAAATATCAACAGCATTGTAAAATGACTTTGGTGAATTTTTTACTTCACATGAGCGATCTGTCATCAACTAGCAATATATATTATAATTTTACTGAATCATATTCAAAAGAACATTCATATGTGTAGAATTACCACTGAAGCTACGTAACTGACAATGGAATGATGGAATAACTACAATTATTGTAAAATTATTTATGCTTATTATTCTACAACTACAGCTGCTAATTACTACTGCCTTGAAATATGAAAACTAAGAGATTCGTGAGTGAAAACTGGGAGTTTCCAGCATGGCTGGATTTCTTCCAGGACAACGAAGAAACTGGAAGGGTGGAGACTGGAAGAAATGAAAGAAGCTGGATAAAATTAACTTTGAAGCATCTGCAGGGTTGAGATAAATTTACTAATATTAACTTAAATTAAAAATATCCTTCAAATCCTTTTAATGAAAATATTTATATTTAAATTGATTAGAAATATATTTATGTTATATATCAATAATATCAATGTGAAAGTCAAAAAGAGTATTTTTTCTGGGCATTCTTCTCTAACCTTGGAAGAAACACAACTAACCCTGTAGGAAAATAACATTTTCAAAATTTATGCTGATGCCATTTGCAATATATTAAATATTGTATAGTGAAAAGGAATTTCATTAATGAAATTTCACATTGAGCTACTCACATTGAAGCAGTTGAGACTAGAATACAGCTAGATTAGAGCAATTTTTTTCCTCTTTTGAATTTGTCCATTCAAAATCACAGAATAGATTACTATATTCAGTTGGTTAAAAAAATTTTCTGTTTTGTTAAGCTGGCTTTTATGATGATGCAGATTCAATTTTGTAATTTGATATAAATTGAAATTCAGGTTCAACATCTATCTCAATTCACACATAAGAAATATCTTGTCGCAAGTGCACAAGAATACATACATTACCACAAGGAAAAGGAAAAACAAATGCAACAATCAAGGAAAGGCATACTAATTAGACTAGTTAAAATATTTAAATTTGTAATACAATATTGCTACATATGAATCTCTGGTAAAATCAGGAAAGCTGGCAGTTATGCATGGCATATTCTAAATACTGGATACAAAATGTATACCATATAGCCGACAGCACCAATGCATACAACTTGTGTTCACACATACAGGTATAAAGCCATTTCTGCTTTAAAGGTCATAGTAAATTCTTTTTTTCTCCTCTTCCTTCTCTTTTTATAGGGTGCCAGACTTTTAGTCAACACTCAAAAGGTCATTTTAGAGTTTCATACCATGAAAAAATATAACAATAAAATTTAATTGAGAGTACCTATTCAACTTAAACGTTAAAAATAAAGCATGCTTTATTATACAGATATTAAAATGGCATACACATGACAATACCTTAATGACTGAGACAAATTTGCTACATCATTTATATCAGCTACTATTTCCAGTGTGTCATTATAGCCCATCCAACGAACAAAACCACCTTCTATAAAACTAACTGGGTTTGGCAGTACTATCTCTAAGCTAGTTGAAGCAGCTGCATAAACAATAGTGCCTACCATTTCAACCTGAAAAATAATATTTCTTTCAATACTTGATCTAACTATATAAAAAGCATTATTGATTATTTGAAATTTAGCATATCTTTAATGCTAGTGGCAGATTCAAATTTAAAATCTTAATTTCAGGGCAGAAGTGATACTCAGCTATATAAATACATAAAACAGGTATTCTGCTTATAATAAAAAAATCCCACTTAAAACATTGAAGTTTAATCCATTAATAAATCCCACTTAAAACATTGAAGAAAATAACATTAGTTCAAAAAAGCATTCATTTTAAATTCAACTATTATTATTAAATTCATGCTTCTGAAGTAAATATATATTTATAATGAAAACATATGAAACTACTTAATTTTTAAGTCTCTATCAAACAGAAAGCATACAATATGTGAAATAAAAGCAACCTGATCTGAATTTAAGAAAAATTCACCCTTATATTGACTTCTACAGAAAATTCTAACGCAATTTTTGGGACCTGTTTTAATCTAAATACATGAAAAGAGGTCAACATGCATTCATATGAACCTAATTTTTAAAACAATTCCTACAGATTACAGAAAAAAGTGTTGCCTGAAATGGCTTCACCCCTATTAGCTCATATGAATGAGATTTATGCATATGTCCTTGGACCTCCGGTAAACAAAATTTTTTAACCTCACAAAATCTATGAAATGAGAATAGAATATTCAAGAAAATGGCAACTACGTTGTAAAAATTATTCTTTCCCTGACCAACTGACATTCTTGTATGTCAGGTTTGAACACCTGTTAGTTAGAAATTACACCATGGGCAATGAGAATAAATTGATTGACATCAGCCATGGCACACTTTCAGGCCTTGAGTGGTTGCGAGAGGGGATAACAATTTTCTACCCTACCAAAACAATAAGAAAAATTCTTAAGACATATTTTGGATGTTGCTCTAGTTGTCTTTTGTTGACACAGCAGTGGGGAAGGGAAAGACAATTAGATTCTGATGAACTCGGTTAACATAGCAAATTGTGCTTTTCCCTGAACTTTTTGAATTAAAGCAGCATATTATTTTGTTCCATCATTTATTATTACTCTTAGTGAAATTACAGTTTCAGTAAATGATAATGTCTCCATTTCACTTTTTTCCCAAACTGTATGTCCATCAATGAGCTGATGGATATTAGAATTTTGTGCATATTTTAAGGCAGATATAAAGTAGCTTTTTAAAAAGCAATGCTGAAGATCATCCAAGAATTCTGGAAATATTTTAATACAAAATCTGAAGTATGGGGCATCGCAAAATCGTAAGAGGATGTAAAGTATTTGGCATAATTTATAGCCAGTACCACATTTCAACATAACGATAACAGCCATGAATTTGAACATTTTCATATATCACAAGAAAAAGGTGAAACTTTCCAATTAACAATGTACAAGAAGTAATGTTAAATGAAGATTATTACAATGCAATCAGTTAATGGATATCAGTTACAATATTTTATCCTTTCAGTTAATGGAAGGATAAAATATATCTGTAGTGTTGTTTTAAATCCAGAAAATATTATTGTTTTGGCTCGTCCCATTTTAATTTCATGTAATAGTCATTCAGAAAAATCTTTCTTTGCACACACACAAACAAACAAAGCAAAAACAAAACACTTAAAGAAATATTAATAAAAAATGTTTTTTCCCTATGATTTCTACATGTCATCTTACTAGATTTAAAGTCATGATATAAAGTCTGGAAATTTCGTCAAAAATCCGAAACTACAGAAATCCTGACAATTCAAGATCTCAAATTTTGTACTGTATGTGTGTGTGTGATTGTATTTATATATGTGGGTCAGTCAAAAAGTTAGTTGCACAGCTTCAGTAAACAAAACAGGATAGAAATTTTACAATAACTTTTTTACAATCAATTTAACAATATTTGTCTCTTAAAGTTCCATTGAAAAATCTACTTTTCAACGTAATTACCTTCGTTACTTAAGCATTTTTTGAGGCGTAGTACAAGTTTTCCGATGCCTTCTGCAAAGAAATCTCATCCAATGCCCGATAATCATTCTTGGCTTGCAGCTTTCACCTTGTCATCTGAGTAGTATTGTCGCTTTGAAAGTTCTGCTCTCATTGGACCAAAAACATGGAAGCTACATGGTGCAAGGTTTGAGCTATAAGGAGGGTGATCCCACACTGTTGTGCAGGAGCACAATGCTATTTGACAGTTTGCTTGGCCATCGATTTTTAAGCAATTGTCGCAATCGTTTTAGTGTTTCACAATAAGAAGATGCATTAATTGTGGCATTCTTCAGTGTGAACTCTGTATGCGCCAACCTTCTCTGTCGAAAAACAGCATCAAGTATCACCTTTCCTGCAGATGGAACAGTTCGACACCTTTTTCGAGTCGAAGTGGAACGTTTCCACTCAAGGGAGCTGTGTTTCATTTGAGGTGAGAAGTGGTGAATCCGAGACTCATCTCCGGTCACAATTTTGTCCCAAAACTCATTTCCCTCCTTTTGGTAATGTTGCAGAAATTGCAGCGTACTTTCAAAGTGCTTCCCCTTATGTTCCTCCACCAGTAAATGATGCACCCATTGAGCACAAACTTTATGAAACTGAAGCTGATCAGTAATAGTTCTATGCACACTTGCATGAGAAATATCCAGTTCATTAAAGATTCTTTTGCATCTGTTTGCAAGAATGCATTCATTCACATACACTCCCCGTGCAACTGCTGATAAATTTCAAAGCAGTTACACCTTTACCCTAACAAAAAACGAATCACTGCACGCATTTCCAATTTGAACGACACTTGCCGCTGTCGAGACATGTTTACGACTGATTACCAGACAAACTAAAACTGCCTCGTGAAAGCCGCTATGTCACAAGATACAGCTAAATGTCTGAAGTATTGCCAGTTTCATCAAAACAGCCATTGACATGAAAATTTTACAAAGGGGCGCAACTAACTTTCTGAGTGACCTACGTGAAAATTTCGCTTTTTACTACCATATCTGATATTCACAGATATTATCATCCTCACCATGAAATATGGTAACTAACTATAAAGTATGGCAAGCAATTTTAAAAATACTCTCACGAACTTACAAAGCTACTCAAAGCAGGTTTTATATTAAAATATTTCAAGAATTCTTAGATGGTCTAAATGTTGCATATCTATATTTTGAAGATATGAAAAATTCTAATATCCATTGACTGATTGATGGATGTACAATTTCATAGAAAGTGTAAAAAACAGAGATGTTATCTTTTACTAAAACTTAAATTTTGATAAAATAACAGTAATAATAATAAACAAAATAATAAGCTCTATCAAACCATAAAATTAAGGAAGAATGCCATTGCAGTGCTAGCCGAGCTTGATAAATTAATAGGAAACTTTCATCCATCTTTTCTGTCATGCCATTAAAAGAAAACTAGTATGTTAAACATTCCACTCCAAGCATACTGTTCCACTCCATGCTTCATGTATTGTGCGCAGGTTGCATAATATAGAAAAATGTCGGCTCTTCCCTCCCACAATCATCAGGGGTTAAAAATAGAAACGTGGTCCACTACCAGTAGATGCTCAAATGCAAAACGGCATTCAGGATGATTCAATACTATTATGGATTATGATGTTACTTGATAACAGAAATCTCAACTAATTGGGGCAAAAATTGATTTATGGCACACATGCTTTCTTGAGTATCATAATATCAACCTGTAAATAAGGAGGGGAGTTTGGATAATTTGGATTTTGGAGTTTTGAAGACATGTTTTCAAGTCTACTTGCATATTAAAGACTTTTGCTGCAAATATAGCAACCAAAGTGATCTATCAAAAGAGACGCAGCAAAAGGTATGAGAAACCCTCTCATTAAGATTTCGAATCCCTAGATCAATGAAAAAAGCTAACTGCATGAGTTCAGTGAAACATGTATGTCTTAAAGATTTAACTAGTTTTAGATTCAAATTAAAATGCCCTTTATTCTTGAAGCCACATTCCAAGTGTTCATGTGACTAATGGCAACTATACTGAACAACAGGTATATAAAGAACTATTAGCTGCAGTATATAGACTGCTTTAATCTTCTAAATTCCATTCATTTAGTTCCTAAAAATATAGAAAGAACTGATAAACTATTTTTAAAGCAAAAATTTTAATTTATTAACACAAATTACAGTAAAATTAAATACAGAATTGACAAAATGCACTTTTTATTTAAATATATAAAATTTATTATAATAATAACAGAAAATTCACTATTTGTTTTAAGTCAATGACACATTTCAAAAACCTCAAACTAACTTCCAATGTCTAAACACTAGTGTTTTTAGATGTGTGGTAAAAGCCCAACTTTCCTGCACACTATTCAAGATTGGATACACTGTAACATCAATAATTCTTTGTTTCTTTGCAAAATGACATAAAAATCAAATACACTGGTGAAATAAACTAAGAGAACTTGCATATTTGATTTATGATATCCAGAACTACTGGACAGATTTTAATAAAATTTGGTGTGAACATATGTTCATATAATACAAACAAAATAAACATTCAACTGTTATAATAGACACACATGTCTGTGTGTAACACTCATGGGAATCTGAAGGTCTGAAACAGTAGTTGCAGAAGACACAAAAGAAATGGGTTAATAGGGGATTTGGTCCCCTCTTACAGCCATACAGGCCTCGCAATATGGAAATAAGGCAGTTGATGAGTGCTTGTAGCAATTCTGTTTTCAGTTCCTGAATGTTTCTCGGAGGGGGGTTGTGAGTTGAAATTGCCCTCCCCAGAGCATCCCAGACATGCTGTATAGGGTTGAGGTCTGGAGACCTGGCTGCCCAATCCATCTGGTGAATATCCTCACTCTCCAGAAATTCGTCGACCAGAAAAGCTCTATGTGGCCTCGCGTAATCGTCCTGTAAGATGAACTTCAAAACACTGTACCCCGGAAAAGGCGAACATAGGACTCCAAGACCTCATCCCTATACCTCACACCAGTCACAAAGCCTCTGTCAAAGACGTGGAGAGATATGCGGCCATCCAACATGATACGTGTCCAGACCATTACACCACCACCTCCATAATTATTGATTTTGCGGACATTGGAGGGTAAATAATGGGTCCCTGGCTCTCTCCATATGAAAGTACAACGAGAATCGGTGTTTAGGCTAAAACGGGACTCAGCGGTGAACAGAACGGTCGCCCATTGCTCCGTACTCAAATCACTATGCTGCCTGCACCATGCTAATTGGACTCTCCTGTCCATTGTCGTGAGCAGGACACAAACAGCCGGTCTTCTGACAAACAACCCTGTCTCATTCAGTCTTTTGGAAACAGTCAGCCTAGTTAAACGGGTTCCTGTGGCTGCATACAAGTCTTGAGAGAGCTGAGAAGTTGTAGCCCCTCTGCTACACCTCGCTAAAATGGACAAATAGCGATCTTCTTTGGCCATCGTGGGTTCTTGGACAACATTGCCTAGGCTTTCTCTCAATGGATGCAGTATCCTGGAACTGTTTTTACAGGTTGCACACAATGCTGGGTGTTAAATTAAACCCTCTGCCTATCTGGACTTGTGATTGACCTGTCTCTAGCCTCCCCACAATTCACCACCTCATTACATCATCTAAACGTTGGTGGTTACTCATTTTTACTGTTCCGATGTGAATTTAACCGATTGCTGCAAGATAACAACAAGAAATTTGCCAAGGTGTGCTAGCGAACGCAATTCGTCTTATTCTCCACGTGCTTATAAAGCCTGTTTTTCTGCTGGCTCCGCATACACACACGTGCACGGCATACAAGATTTGCATTTTTATCTAGAAGCAGTGGTTTTTCCTTCAATTCAATTCTTTTCATGCAGTTTGATAAAATACGCAAATTCCTTTAATTTATTTCACTAGTGTAGAACACAAAATAAACTAAGCACACACACAACACAAAATATACATATATATATCTTTCATATATCTTAAAAAATACCAGACATTCTGAATTTTACCTTTAGATGAACTGTGTAAAATCCAGGTTCAAGTATATTATGTGGTATAATAAGTTGCCTCTGATGTAATAAATCTGGCAAGTCAATATCAACAGGGATATTTAATTCATTTTGAACAACCCATGTGTATTCCACATTAGTGCTCTTGCAAGCAGTAAGTACAACAGCTTCTATGAAAACATCACTCAAAAAACTCACCTAAAATTAAATATAAAATCTTAAGATTCTTAGTATTAAAAAATAAATAAGTTCATTTAGAAGTTTAAAAAACTATATATTTTACTAAGCAAACCTAAAACAGCCAGTCGAACATATATTTTTTTAAAAAAAATTTCATCTTACAAATATCCATATAAGGATGTCTTAGAAAGAAATAATGGAAAAGAATGACACAAATATCTCAAATTAATGTGTTTATTGGACTGTAATTGGTCTGTCTTGTGTATGATAAAGCATGCGAAAGCCATCTTCCTAAGGGAAGGGATGTCTTTGTGGAGGATTTTCTAAGGAAAATTGGTTTGTATCCATGTTACACATGGAAAAAAGCATGCGAAAGCCATCTTCCTAAGGGAAGGGATGTCTTTGTGGAGGACTTTCTAAGGAAAATTGGCTTGTATCCATGTTACACATGGAAAAAACACAAAATCACATGTGCAGCCAGCTTGTTTGCCTGGAAATGAACCTAGGTTGAGCTTCAGCATTCAATGACTACCATCTGGCCACTGATGGACCCATTACATTGCAGTTTAGATAGCTGGGGGGGATTTAAAAATTTTGGTACACATCTATGCGAGTGGCATTTGTAGCTCAAGCTATGTAGCACTTTCTTTCCACATGTATGAAAGTATCACTGGAGTGACCCAATTCCATTGTTTCCATATTTCAAGGGGGGGGGGAAAGTCTTTCTGACAAACAAAACTTTTTTAGTTCTTCTTTTCAGTTTTGAGTGAAAATCACAATACAATAAATACATTGATTTCAGATACATGTATCATTCTTTTTATCACTTCTTTCCAGGACACCATGTATATTATACATACGAATCTATTGTTTTCAAACATCTGAATATACATTATATACATAATACACTAAGTAAAATACAGTTTGCTTAATTTTTAAACTTATGTAACTTTAAAAAATTAAATGGCTAAGATAGAGCCCATACTTTAATTGTATGCCTAAAATATACAGACAGAAACAGGAAACACTACACATTCAAGGATTTTATATGTCAAATATTTAAAATCCATACCATAAAATTAGATGCTGTATTATAAAGGTTGGCTGTGGTACATTTTATGCTACAAATGTGAGGTTACATGGTCAAAGAAATAATTAATCACAGGTGAAGGTGTATGAATAATACTAATATGATAAGCATTTATCAAAGAGATTGTGAAATTTCACATAATGGTACACTAAAATCTCGAATAACTGAACTTTCTTTGCTTCAAATCAAGAACACAAATCTCATGTGTCCAGCACATGACCTAACACCAATTTCCAAATCAAGACATGGTACAGAGAGTTTTAACGTATAGATGGCACTATGTGCATACAATGTTTGATTAATGTTTTGATCAGTTCCATATGAAAGAAACTCTAGCCTATAACGAGAGGAAGGCAAAACTCATGCCTCATCTTTTAAACAAATGTTTTATTTTTTATTATTTTGTTTTGCATGCAAGCTTCATTAATTGCAATCACGGCTCATTTATTCATCACTTGGGCAGATTACTAACAGGCAGGATCCCACTCCATGAAGACTTCATAATTCATCACATGGAACTGGCAGAAAAGCAACAAGATTCAAGAAAACTATCATTTCTGTTTGATCATTTGTAAACAGAATCTAATCGATTTATTACTTTTTTTATAATTATACTTTCATATACAATAGACTACACATGACTATAGATATAACTATAAAATGCTCATGTACACATTCATTCTCTTCCTTTGATCTGAAAATATCACATGGATCCTACTGTATCCTCCAGCAATACAGATATTTTCGGATTCCCAAATCAATGCCTTAAGTCACAAAATTTTTAAAAGCAGCGTATCCTTCAAATTCTTGACAGAATGTTAAGTGTTGCCATCCATTTTTTCATATTTTCTATATTATTTCTTTTAAAATAAGATATATAACATCAACATTTAGTGACAGCATCCTTTTATTCGAAAAGTGATTTGATACAAACATGAAACAAAAAACAATATTGAGGATTGAGGTTTGTACATTTAAATGCTTCATAATGAAAGCTCATCTTCAGAATGAGCTTATTTTTCTTGTATTTAACAATTCCAAGAAAGCAGTTATTGCTTATAAATAGAACGTATTGTTCTCAATCACACAGCTATTTTAAATATTAAACTTGAGAAGCTTTGGATTATAACTCAGGATACTTTTTTATGAATGTCTGTTCAGAGCTTCAAGTACAGTAACACTTCTTGTTTATCAATTTTAGCCGAAATTTAATTTGTTTTTCCTACTGAAATAAAAGACCTAAATACCAAAACTGAAAAATTTTGAATCAAATTTTAACATAGTTCTTCATTAAAAACTGAAAAGGGTTTCAAGTAAGATACCAATCACTTTCGGTTGTCTATTCAAGACTGTTATGGGTTTCACATAAAGTACATTTTTGGTAGTCCATATGCAAAATCTAATCAAATCTTTATACAAACATAAGCTTAAATCCACAAAACAGAAATTTCTGGAAGTTTAATAAAGAGTTATTGTGGATTAAAAAAAAAACGGTGCGCATATAAAAATACTAAAAGCGTGTTAGACCATAAGTTTTGTTTATTCACTGAAAACTCACTTTCCAATTTTTGGAAAAAAACATTACATCCCTTACCTATGTATATAGTTTGGCACGAGGTAAAAATACAGAGTCCCCTTTCTTATCCCTTATTTGAAAAATCAAGTTCAGGCATGTCTTTCTGAGCCTTGAAGCCTGTGATCAGGCCGCCGTGATTTCAAATCAGAAGGTTTTATTTAATTTTTGCACAACACTAGATGAGGATTGAAGTCTGTTTAATGATTTTAAATGAAAAAAAGGCTTAACAGAAAAATTCACCCTGCCCCATATGTATGGAGAAAATGGGCCTTGGGCAGCACATGGGCCTTCAGGAGTGCTTCTTTTTCCTCCCCCATCTTTGATGGGAAACATTTTTTAGAGTTACGGGTATGCTAGGGTGATTATTTAAGCCTTTTAAACTCGTTTGAAAATTCTGAATGACTTCCACTTTTAACTGAATATTTTACTATGTTTTAATACTCTTTGTTCTTCTTAGACTGTTTTTAAATGTTTGCTTTAAATTTTGTAGCCTCTTAAATCTTATTTTGTATCTTTCTCATTCCTTCTATATTTGAGCTGTGTAATTCTAAATACAAATGAATAATCTTTTATTAACAATTAACTGCTAGTAAGGAGAGGAAATCTTTTCCATGCAATAAATTAATAAATAAAACAAAATACACTATAAATAAGGAAATTAAACATGCAAAGCATCTCAAAAAGAGACATCAAAATTGACCAAATATTCTCTTAATACAAAAAAGAAGTAGTAACAAGCCCGTTTCAACTGAAAATAATCTGAAAACCTACATTCCAGATATACGAGGTAAGCAATAAAAGCCAAAATCAACTCTTAAATTATTTAACATACAGCAACAAAATAAGCAGCAAAATGTTTATATATTTTGCTGTTTGATATAATCTGTACATTTATCTCAAGCCTCATTTTAGATTCCTCCATATATAACCAATAATATTTGTACAAGCAGTTTGCTGTTCTTTCTTTCAAGAAATATAGACTTACAACTCTATTCTTCTGATGAAGGAATGTGATTTCAGGCTTCTCACACATATAATGCAAGAAAAATATATTTGTAGTGATGTTGGCATGACTAAATTTATTCCACACATTTACAGACACCCAGTACTCTCCGACACTAGAAGAAAGATATATCAGATCAATATAATGATTATATATGCATTGCACAATGATATACAGTATTTATAATAATTAGTATGACAATTAATAGTCATAAAACATATTTAAAAAAAGATAATCTAAAAATAATATTTATAAAATTCACAAGCATGCATAGAAAACTTAACTAACTTTAATATTATATAATCATTCTAATTACATTACATTCAAATTTTAGACACAAAACTTTTATTTAAGAAAGAGGGTTAATGATATTATAACTTTTTAATTAATACTAATTAGATGCTATTGCTTTTATTAGGAAATTTTTTCATAAATCCTTTAAATGAATTGCAATTAAGTGGGAAATAGGGAAAACCACTGAAATTTAATGGCATACGATGAATACTTTCTTTATTTATAAAAAAAGTTCACTTTTAGTTGATTAAGTATAAATTTTACATGAAAAAAACTGCAAAATGTAATGAAATTCCTTTATTCTACGTATGACAATTTTTAACAAAATTTCCCTCAAAGTTAAAACATCTAAGGTATGCATATGAAAGAAACATGTAACAGTAGCACTTAGTAATAATGAAGTGAGGATGATGGGAAAATGGAATGAATATCTTTGCGATATGCTTTATATTCTAATAATACAGGTTGTATATTTACTTCCATGTACTAAAAAAATTACATTTCAAATAATTTTTCTGTGGGAACATTTTGTTAAAAGGTTTAAGAGCTCAAATTTTATTTTGACATTTCATCAAACATCTTTTGAAAGTTTCTCTAATTTCATAAAACTATAGGAATAAAATATTTTTACATGACAATTATTACTTTAAAAGCAAGTTAATAACACAAAGATAGTTAAAACCCATTACATAATCCACCTATTTTCAACATAACATATTGTTACAAAATGTACAGGTGCGGTAAGATAGCTTCCCCGCAAAGCAGTTTTAGGGTTATCACATTTTCTCGCCAAATGTATTTAATATAATGAATATATTTAATACATTTGGCGAGAAATCGCCCATTTGGCGACAAAATTGGCGATATACCATGGACAGATAACCTTCTGAAACGAATTCTTACCGGTTTAGCCCAGAATGTTCTCGAACACAAGCCGAAAGCTATATAAACCCTGCTGGTCCGAATTAGTGTGTGTGCCTCGTCTAGCGAGCTGATAGTCAGTCATTGAGCGAGTGTCTCAAAGTCTAGCCCCAAGTTGGTCGTCGAGTGCATCGACAGAGTCTTTTAGTGCATTGTCAAGTTTTGTCTTAGACTGTGCTGAGTCGAGAGCTATACTCTTGTGTATCGTCGAGTACATCGCATGGAGAGTCTCCAAAGTACATGCTGTTCTGAGAACGACCAAGCAGAGTTGGAAGCTGTACTCGGGTGCTTTGCAGTGAAGCTGTCTCCACCGTTATTGAATGACAGTGTGAAGGCTGTGTCGCTGAACGTATCAGCGTGTTTATAACAGTTTGACGACTGTAAAAGTGATTTTGGAGCTATCTGAATAATATTGGTAAATAAAGTGTGTTTCTATACTTCATCAAGCGTCGTAGTTATTCACTCCAAATCTACGAACCCTGTACGAAACACGAAGGAAGAAAATAATGTAACAATATTTACTTCCATGTACTAAAAAATTATATTTCAAATAATTTTTCTGTGGGAACGTTTTGTTAAAAGGTTTAAGCAGTCAAATTTTATTTTGAAATTTCATCAAACATCTTTTGAAAGTTTCTCTAATTTCATAAAACTACAATAATAAAATATCATTACATGACAATTATTACTTTAAAAGCAAGTTAATAACACTAAGATTTCATATACCGTATTTATGCGAATCTAATGCGCATCCCCATTTCAAAACTTTAAATAATAAAAAAACTGTTTGTCGGCGAATGTAATGCGCATCAATGGTATGAGGAATTTATTGAATCTTATTTTATACAACAATGGATTTGCATATAAACTATCAATCAATGGTATGATAATTTTATTTAAATTTAGATACCATATTTTATACAACAATGGATTTATACATAAAGTAGCAGAACATAGAATTAACCTATTAGTGGGCTATTGTCATGTGAAACAATCATTGTTAATTACCACTACCGTATATACGGTACCTATCGTAAAATATGAACATGAAATAAATCGTAACATTTCTATCTAGCTAACAGTTTCTACAAATCAGTGATTAATAGTAAACGTCTTTATTCACTAATGTTTTCATCACTGGAATCCTCGCAGCTCTCTTCGTCAGAAGCAGATTCATTTCTTCTTTCCTCATCATCGTCATCGTCATCCTCGGCGTTCCAGAGCACGTCATCGTCATCGTCACTGCCATTCAATGAATTTGAAATGCAGCATTTCTTGAAAGATTTCACAATCATTGGTGCTTCGATGCTTTTCCAGGAAGCAGAAACCCAGTGTGCAACAATGTGCGGTGCAGCACGCTTAATTTTTCCTGTCGGGGTCAATACACGGTTTGGCTCACAAAACAATTTTTCCTTTTTTGTACTCCGCCTGAACGTACCCATTAAAAGGTTTATTTATACTAACGTCCAGGGGTTGTAACACAGACGTCATCCCTCCAGGAATGATAACAAGATCACTGCCTAGGCTGTGCATCTTCTTTTTTACGTCGTCGGTGAGATGACCACGAAATGCGTCCAGACAAAGCATTGATGGTGGATTGAAGAGCCCACCGGGACGGCGTTCCCCATACATTTCGGAGCCAATCAAGCATTAATGATTCCGTCATCCACCCCTTCTCTTGGTTTCGAATCAGGACATCATCTGGGAACAGCTTTTCATTCTTAGGGGTTTTAGGGCATGTTTTCCGTTTGAAGATTAAGAAAGGGGGAAGTTTGCACCCGTCTGCTGTTATTGCCAGCATCACTGTTACGCGTTGTTTTTCACATCCCGAAGTTTTGATGATAACTTCCTTAGTCCCCTTCTCCGTAATGGTGTAGTTACGAGGCATATCAAACCAAATTGGCCGTCTCGTCAGCGTTGCCAATTTGCCCCATTGAAAAATTCTTTTCCTTCCGAAGTGTGATGACATACCGCTGAAATGTTAGTAGTTTTCCCTCAAAATCTGCAGGAAGCTTTTGGCATATTGTTGTACGGCGTCTTAGAGATAAACCCATCCGCTTCATAAACCGATCCACCCATCCACGGCTAGCCTTAAACTCTTGTTTCGGTATTCCAAGAACTTCAGCCTCCTCTTTTGCTTTATTTCTTATGGTGTCACTAGTCACAGGTTGTCCATTCTTCCTCCTTTCACGTACAAATTCCAAAACTTTTTCTTCAATTTTAGGGTGTCTTCCTTTGCGAGGGCCAGTGAATTTCTTTCTACTAGCTTTAGTTGCAAACAGTGCCAATTTCTGTTGCCGCCACAAGCGAACATTGCTCTCAGCTACGTTGAACTCTCTCCCTGCCTTTCTATTGCCATTTTTTTCAGCATAAAGAATTACTTTACGTTTGAAAGTAGCGTCATATGACATTCTTCTCTGTTTGCCCTCCATTTCGTGACTACGTACTCTGCAGTTTGTATCCTCTATGCAATAATGTGTCAACGATAAATGTAACGGTAAATGTAGTCGAGAAATACAGTAATCCATTGTTACAATTTAAATTTGGTTGACGTCATCGGCGAACTTTGCACTCGAATCTAATGCGCACCCCAATTTTGAATACTTCATTTGGCCAAAAACGATGCGCATTAGATTCGCGTAAATACGGTATATATATATATATATATGTTTCATGAATTTATTTAATATATTTATAGATATATTTAATGAAGTACAGTTAAAATCCATTACATAATACCACCTATTTTCAACATAATATTTCAGAAAATATACATTTTTCATTTAAATCTAAAGGGAGGAAATTCTCATGTATTCTATATTGCCATTGACAAATCAAAATTAGCATTACTGGAGCTATCTGACAATAAACTTGAAGAAGAAAATAATAAATAAATTACATTGAATACATAAAAGCACTAAAAACATACATTTAATGTTATATTTGAAAGGGAATAAGAAATTATATACAGAAACTATGAAGACAAATTGCTCAGTAGGAAAGTAATTTAAATGATTATAAGTTACATTCTGTAAGATAAGATTTATGAATTAAGAGATATTCAGAAAAAAAAGAAAGAGAGAAAGGGAAATTCCTACTCCTTATAGGAATGCTGAACAGATGCAGAAGTAGTAGTTACATGCGAAGAACCATCACCAAAATCCCATAAGAAAGTTAGATCTGTCCCAAACCAATAGAGAGCATGACAGGTAATAGTATGATTTACTAGATTTGGCCCTTGACAATAGATGGATGTCAAATTGGCAATTTTTTGAATCATATGCAATTGAAATGATGATGATGATGCACTGCTTATATGATTCTGAGCTGTCATGTTTACTTCATACCTAAAATACAAAAGTAACATATGTAAACACAGTTGCATTTGCTAATGCAGGTACACACATACATGATTGATTTTTAAAAAATATATTAATTTCTTATAAAATTAAAAATTCAGAAATAAAATACTATTTATGTAATTCATGCACATAATTGTGTATCTATTTTGAAATTTAATTTCTATTTATTATTTAATTTAAAACAGTTTCATTAAAATACTTGAACTATACGAGGAGAAGCATAAACAAATTTCTCATTTGGGTTCAACTTTAAAAATATTCAGTTGTAGTTTAATAAAACTGATTTCAAGTAATACAATTATCAACAGATGGCAAAATTTAGTATCTTTCATGTAATAAGTAAAAATTTAAGTATACAAACATACATAACTTTTCTTAAATGTAATAAAATTTTAAATATGCATTGCTAAAAATATTTTCATACACTTCTGCATGAATTCACCGGAACCAGGAATATAGGTAGTATCATCTAACTGCTACTGCACCCACTAATACATCTGCTGATGTTTATTTCATTTTATTTATTTATTTTTTGTATACAGCATTATGTATCAGGACCAATGAAGTTGTTTTAGTGGGTAATTTGCAGATATTCAAATCCAACAGCTGCCACTTCACACACTTATGCAATCAACAACAGAAAATTACTGGTTTGATGATCACTCTTTGCATTATTTGTAATGACACCATGGTACAGGTATCCAAGATGCGATATAAATATACCATATTTGACAATTGGCACCTCACTAACAGAAAAGTACCAAAACAGTAAATATACCATATTTGACAATTGGCACCTCACTAACAGAAAAGTACCAAAACAGTTTTAAGACAATTTGAAGAATATAAATGTAGATGGGTGAGAAGAGGAGCCATTGAACACTGTAAAGGAAACTCACTGCCTGCATTGAATTAATCTTCGACAACACTTTGATGATATGCATACCTGAATCTGTCAGGCAGTTCATAATCCAACGATGCAATGGCACTCTCATATTGGCGTAAAAGGGCCGCAATTTGAGCAATTGTTGTGAAATTCATCTTGCAAGACATACCAGCTTCATGACAACATCACAGTATCCTTTCATTAACTTGACTAGAGTCATACTTTTCGCAAGCAGTGAAACTACATGGAAAGGCAAATAATACCTTGTAGCACTAAATATTCTAGACTGTTTTGAAATATTCCATACTATAAAAGATTAATAGTAAGTACTAGCAATTAAGTATCTATATCTATGTATCACTCTCTGTGTGAAACTCTAAGAAGTCTTCGTTTTAAGCAACATGGTGAGTTACAGAGTAACATTTTGGCATGTGCATCTATTAATTAGTTGCCACAGGCTAAATGTATTAACATGAAAAAATTCCGCACTACAATTATTTAATGTAAAATATATTTTAATTTTCACATAATTACTTTTGCACCTTTCAATCAATTGTTAGCTCTTACTATTTTATTACATAAATAACTTTGATTAACTAAAATTATAACATTTTGATACATAAACTTTTGCAACGGTAAAAATGTTAAGTACATATTATGCAACATTTTAAAAAATTATACATTCTATCTATCTATATCTATATATATCTATATATACCAGCCAGCATGAAGGTATCGATGTTCCAAAAATGGAACATTTGTCCTTTTCATGTCAGGTAATCCTACATTCCAAATAAATCGAAGAGCTCTTTCAGTAGATGGAGATATTTTAGCTTTGAATTTTACTGGAACATCTAATGGAAGTTCTATTTTCTGCAGATCACAAACTGCTTTGCCATCAAGCTCTAAGCACAAAATAATATCTGGAACAACAAACAAGTAATATGTTACTTAAACAAGCAATGACACGTGTAATTAGGCTTGAACAATTAAATTTATTAAAAAAATTTAAAAAGGTGATAGACACAAATATTTATATACAAATATATATACATTAAAAATGAATACAAATAATATAATTAGAAAAGAGAAAAATAAGTGTTCACATGGCTCTTCTAGTTTCTACGGATGGCCAAAATGCACATATGTGTAAAATTGTGATTACTTCATATAGGTGAGAGATAGGCTTTGTCCAGAAATTTTTCACATTCCTAAAGCTGAAACCAGAACAGCACACAATAAAAGGGTTTTCACTGTACAATGGACTTGAATGCCCTCTCTCCCAATTAAAAAAAAAAGATATGTCTATACAATTAAATATGCATAAATGCTAAGGCTATTCAACTCTAAAGGATATGGAAGTCTTACATTTCTGGTATTCTGCTCTGCATATCCCGAGATATTTTTCAGACAAACAGAGACAGTGAGCAGGGTTTAAATTAAGCCTGAGCCTAATACAGATCATTTCAGTGAAACTGTCAGTTGAGTTGAAGCCCTAATAAGGTCGACTTCAGCATTTTAGCCTGTTATTTAACTATCTGTTATCTGTTTCACTTATAATTTTGTATATCTTTATGCTTTTATTTAGCTTATTATTAATTATTTATCATTTAACATACTTTCATTTACCTTTCCCGACAGCCTCCCACAAAGCTCGAGCACTTTTAATTCCAGAATATACAGACTACTCGCTTGACTAGCAACAAAACAGAATATACATTTTTTAAACAAATATATGATAAGATTTTTTTTTCATTTGTAAAACTTCAATAGCATGGTCCATAAACCTAAATAGCAATAAGAAACTGAAATTATAGAATACTGAATCAATGTAGACTTACAGAATTTGTACACCATAGTTTCAATACAATAATATAATTTAGCATAAAATATTTAAAAGAGAAATAAATAAGAGTAATATATATTCACCTTGTAATATTTGTTGAACATAGATTTTTGCAGATGCTTTAGGTCTATTTATTATTTTAAATCCAAAATCTGTAACATAATTAAACGCTTCAACATAGACAATGTAAACACCTGGCTGAAGTAAAGGCAAAACTATTGCACTATCTGAAATAAATTAAAAAAAAAATTAACCATTAATTTCTACAGCTTCATTTGAAAACACAATTCGTCATCACATAAAATTAAAATATATTTAAATATCAAATAAAATTCTAAGAAACATCATAACAAGAAGTGCTGTTGTTATTGTTACTAATCCTCGAGTCTAGCTTCTGCTAGACGAGGACTACGAGTTTATTCACCTTCAAAAAGTCATAAACTAACATAGGAGACTTAATTAGGTCGTCCTAGGACAAACCCAGATACCTAAGGATATGTGTTGAAGGCAAATTGGAGCATCATTTTTCTTTGTGACCCTTGACAGTAGTTCAGTATGGAAACTGACCCTTGGAAGACCCACTGAGGGGTCAATGCATTGCTTCAAGAAAACATTGTTCTACCGTAGGGTCAAATAAGTTGCTGTTCTCAATCTGACTAAACGGGCTGTGTTTCTTAAGTCTTTCGTTATTATGCCAATGTCGCAATAAATCCGAGGTACGATTTAAGGAATCGTAGCTGTAAAGTTTATTATAATACTTTACTTGGCTAGAGTTCCTTCTGAGACTCAGAGGCTGAAGGTCTGCCTCAAACAACACAATATCATTTGGGCAGCTGTTATGTAAGCCAGTTATAACATGAGAGGCACTAAGCTGCACTCTCTCTAATTTCTGGAGGTTAGTTGTAGATGCACAACAGTAAATAGGAAGGCCGTATTCCAAGATGGGACGGATAATGTATAACAAGAAATTGTGTAACAAGTATCATTAAGTGAAGACCATAGCCCTCCTCTTCTCCCCCATTGTACAACCTGTATGACAATTACCAGTTATGCCTTTCAAAAAATTAACACAGTTAATCACAGACATAAATATGTCCATTGCGAAGTTATACTTACGAGTGAAATTTTTTCCCAAATAAGTAAACTAAGAAAGTTCTGTAAATCTGAATTAAATTGAAAAATTAACACACAAAACTAAAAATTAAAGAAAAAAGAAAGGGGGAAGAGTTGCCATTGGCTTTATGTTAAAAGGAGAAATCTGCATATTCACTATCTAAATAAAAATACATTTAATGGTTTAGAATTCTAAAGAAAATGAAATTATGAAAATGGACTGCATGGCTATGTGGAAAAAGAGACTTAAACTAAAAGTTCACTAGAAGAAAAGAGGAACAAGATTCTCATTTCCATATCTGGGAATGCTTCAATCAACATAAAATTTTGATTCCCTAACAACAGATGCATTTGTCAGGCTAAAATTCACCTGGACGAAAAAGAGATGTGAAATTGTTGAATTCAATCCAATGGGGAGTTCTTAATCAAAACATAAAGTTATATTTTCACCACATGCCAAAAACATTTTTGGTCACAATATTTTGCAACTATTCAGCAACAAAGTAATTGCTCTTTCTCTTTCCAAGAAGTTGTCTACATAGATGGTACCAGAATGTGGAAAACGTAAGAACCTAATTCTTTTATGTAAATTACAAGAAATATGTACACTGATTTTGCCACAATGTAAAACATTGAAAAACATCAAAGAAAAAACACAAATTTGAATTTTAGCCTTCTATCAATAATATTTTCAATGTAAAACATTGGAAAACACCCAAGAAAAAACACAAATTTGAATTTTAACGTGGTATCAATGATACATCAAATTCTTCTAATTTGTTACTTATTATCATAAAATATACACAAATTTTCATTACAAAACCCATTCATTTTTTAAGCTTGTGTTAGCTAATGTTATATTGGATTATATTGTTAGTGTTAGCAATACATGTTAAAATCTAAAGTACAGTACAAAGTCCGTAATCCGGACTCATCGGGGACTTCAGCGATTCCGGATTAAGGGTTTTTCCGGATTGTAGATCATCAATTTAAATCTGGTACGATGACATGCAGAAATTATACAATTAAAAATATGAAACCATAATGTATGAAATAAAGAGCAATTATGATCTAAAGGGTATCAAAATTTACAAAAAAAAAAGTTTAATATTTGTTTACTTTATTAAACATTTCTTTCAATGTAAGTTGTTTAAGTTGCTTCGTTTTTTGTGCTGAACATGCTTGCGTAAACACATTACGTGCATGCGTAAAGCATACAAAAAAAAAAAAAAAAGTTTGTGGCTTTAAAGTCCGGATTATAGATCATTCCAGATAATGGACGTCCGGATTACAGACTTTGTACTGTATATTGTATCATACATCTGTTGAAACAGTTACAGAAATAGTTCATGGTACAATCAAAAGATGTAAAATTAGATACTGATAACAAAGTCCAGTATTTTTTATTCACTTTAATTTTCTTAATAACAATTTCTTTTCTCTGGCCTACCTTATTGTCACAATAAAATATATGTAACATACACAGCATAAGAAAATATGCATTAATGGAATAATCATACAATACAAAGACTGAGCTCTGGAACTGTCAGAACTTCAAAGATTCTGAATTTTGGATTATGAGTTCATATCTCATAAGATGAGACGTATACATGTCAACATTGGAACTTCCTTTACTGTTAACTGTTTAGGTCAGATAGAGAAACAATAATCCTTCAATGGCTGAAAATGTGTTCTGAAAATGACATTGAAATAAATGTCATTTTCAGAGTTACAGAAAATGACATTGTGCATGAATGTAGCTGAAAATGACATTGGCCAGGGGCCCTTTCAATACCAAGAAAGGTGTTTGAATATAAAATGCAGGGATGTCAATTAGTCAGGAGAAAAAAAATGCAGGGATGTCAATTAGTCAGGAGAAAAATCATGGCACATCTGTTCCTACTGCTGAGGATGCTGATGTTTTAATCAATATTCTTCCATTCCTAGATTTTTTTATAATTTTGTTTATTTATTTTTCAGCTGGTGATCTGCATCTTAGATCATTCCAGACCACCTCAAACATTTATTACTGGACTCTGTGTCGGGATTCCACTCAACAGTTGACAGGAGACGAAGACACCACCATTCTACCAAGAGGTTAGATCGTAGTGCCTCGTAAACTCTTGGTAGAACGATGGTATCTTCGTTTCATATCCACTGTTGAGGGGAATCTCAGCCAGTAATACAGAGTCCAGTAATAAATGTTCGAGGTCCAATATCTGGAATGATCTATGATCCAGATTACCAGACGAAAAATAAACAAGCTCACAGGAGTTTCTAGGTACACTTTTTTAAAAAGCTGGATTTTTGACAATGATAGTGGTCAACATCTCGAAGTGTTTCTCAAGATCCAATAGTATTTTCCATGTATTTTCTTCTACTCTACTTTGTAAATTATGTATAAGAAAATACAAAATGACCGCAAAATAATATAATAATTAATTTTTAATTTACCTGTATTATTAAGATGAGTACTATCAACAACCCAGCTGAATGATACATTTGTTCCTTGAACTACTGATGCATGTACACTTACATTGCTAGAATATGGAACAATATAATACTGCTTATCAAGTGTAAGGCCTTCTGGAAGAAACTGGACATAAAATGCAGGATCAAGAGTCTCATTCATGGAATCAAGCAAATTTGTAGCTATCACAGACACTTCATAGCTGCCCTCTGCAAGCATAAATGCAACAATAAAAATTTAAAAAAAAAAAAAAATATTCTTTAACAATAATAATACCTAAAAACATACCTATTCTTTAACAATAAACATACCTAAAAACACATTATTTTGACATGCGCAGACAGTAATAATGTAATTATGCAGATGACACACAAAGGAAAAGAAAAATGAAGTTATCATATAAAATAAAAGAGTTCAAATTAATTTAATTACATGATATCTGAACTTATAATGAAGGAGAAAGACGTTTAACTTTGACCTAAATGCAAGCCAATAGTTTTATCTATCTAATTGAATAGACTTCATTAATATAATTGCTACAAAAAATTTTAAATTACATAGAAGGAAACGTACACATTCATCAGGATTTTTGCAACCACAATGTGACAAACTTCAGTTTCACGGATTTCATTCACAAAGCTAATGCCTTTTTATAATTCAAAGAATTTAAAAGATTCATATCCAGTTACACTGGATTATTCATCAAGTCATTTTGTCTATGACATTAACAAAAGGTAACTACCATCTGCCATTAACTTTACTTGGACCGGGGGGGGGGAGAGTTGGTGAGGAACTGGTTATATTATACTTTGTATTAGTAACCATGAAAAATATACTGTCAGGAAAAAATTTAAGATTACCACCAAATCCTTGAAAATTAAAATACAGGGCATTCGACATTTACTATTTTCTTTAGTGTGGTATCTTTAGTGACTATCTTTAGTGTGGGTAGTAAACACCACCTAAATCTATTATTTTCTGCCAATGTTTGGATAGTTTTTCAAAGCCTTTGGGCCCAGAAACTTGGTGGTTGTGAGTCCAAAAACAGATCAACCTCATTTCAGACATCCTGTGTAGAATGGAAGACAGCACCAGCAAGATGTAGCTGTAGGTGTGAAAAAAGGTTGAAGTCTGAAAAAGTGATGGCGAGGCTATATGGTGGTTGCGACTTAAGATCCCTTTTGAGTCCCTTGTCCCCAGCCAGCAAATTCAAACAAGTGTGGTTGTATTTTATCTTGATGAAACATTACCTTTATGCACTGGAACTCATATTGATATTTTTCTTTCATAGTAGCGTCAACATGGACTAGTATCTCGCTGTACACCTTACTGTCAAGGATTTTACCTTTTTTCAGATAACTTTGTGAATAATACCACAGTAATCCCATAAGATGCAAAGCATGATCTTCTTGTTAGTCAAATTGTACTTTGTGACACTGCCGACATGCTCACCAGGTGCAGACCAACTCCCTTCCCAGCCTGTGCTGTTGAAGTAAATCCATTTTTCATCATTAGTGACAATCCGGTCCAGAATTTTGTCCTTGCGTTGATATTAGAGCAGAGTGGTGGAGACCCAAACACGTCTGTCCTTATCTGCTTGAGTTAGCTCATGTGACAACCAAATGACTGAATTTGTAAATCAAGTTTATGCGATGCATAGCATGACTAATGGACAAGGCACTAACGTCTAACTCCTTAGCAAGCTCGAGTGGTTGCATACTTATCTTCTTCCACAAGTTCTAGTTTAATGGGCATTGAAAAATAATCATTGTCAATAAATTAATTTGTGAAATGTCTCCCTGATGTGCAACTTCATGTTTTAATTCATTAATTCATGATTAATATGTCACTAATTAGAATTTTTGGTTCACCAAGATCAGAAACTTAATTTTATATTTAAGATGTCCCACCCACAATATTGAAATTGTTTTCATAAAAACTCTGTACTATATTTTGAGGACCTTTGTAACTGTTTAAGATATTAAGTCCATATCTAGGATCATTATTTAAGGAAATAGAGCCTCGAGACAATTTTCCCCTAGCATGCTGTATTTAAAATATATATGTATAAGATGAACCAAAATTTTGATTCATTCTTTTGGTGGTCAAAGGTTATGATATAAATTAATCTTGAATAAGTTGACGTAAACATTAAGATATAAACTTGTAATGAATGAAACATTCTTTTGCAAAGTTGTGTCTGGAATGTCTGTTACTCATGTTAAAGTAATCATTGTTGGTAATGATAACAATATTTTTTTTTTAAATCTCACAACAGAGTGCTCTAAAGCAAGTCTCTTTCTTTCAGATGCAAAAAATGGTTTGACAAAATATGATTAAACATGCCAACATGCACTGTTTGTACAGATGATATTGGCAGTGACGAGAAACTTTCATCTGACAAAAATCTGACATTTATTCTGTTAGTGCTGTAACTTACTACTGTAAGCCTTATGGTACAGTTCGTGGAACATGAGAAGATGTAATTAGAATTAACAAGAGCTTTAAAAACACACACACACATAATTGCAGACGCTGGATAAGACAATTCTCTGAAAAGCTGAGCTTCAGTTTGGTTGTATCATATCACCAGAATAGTCAATCTCATAACTAACAATATTTGATGAAAAAAATCATCCTTCCAACTAGGCTAACCATATTAATAGTATCATTATAAGTAAAACAACATCATTATACAGGATGTACCGCAAATGTTGTGACAAACTTCTAGAGCAGGAAGGATACATCATAAGGATTAAGAACTCATGCCCGGAAATGTCGGTAAGTGGTAGCAGAGGTAGAAGATAGGAAAAGAAACAAGAGTGATTACTTTGAAACATTTATTGGACATGAATACAAATGGTGTACGGCAGCTTGAATGTTACAACAGATGCTCAAAGTTTGCACCATCAGACGCCATACATGCCTAACAGTAACAGAACACAACGGACCATTTATTGCTCGACATGTTGAAACAAACCAGGAGTTTCTTTGATTGTGGCAGCTGTGCAGGTGAGCCTTGCCACGAGATCCTTTTCAGACATAACAGGATCGTGGCACATGACACTTTTCATGGCTTCCCACAAAAAGAAATCAAGGCTCGAATAAATCTGGTGAGCATGGGGGCCACGGAACTGATCCACCACACCCAATCAATCCATCAATGCAGGAATGGTATGTTCAAATGGCTACGAACATTCAGTCCAAAATTAGCAGGGGTCCCATAATGTCGGAGTCACACTTTGCGCCTCACATTTGGTGGAACATCGTCAAGCAAATCGGGAAGAACCTACTCCAAGAAGATAAAATAATATGCGGCATTGAAATGGTTCGTCGATGTCAGGCACGTTTGGTATCTGATGATGCAAAGTTCGAGCATCTGTTGTAACATTCAAGCTGTCGTACATCATTTGTATTCATGTCCAATAAATGTTTCAAATAAATCACTCTTGCTTCTTTTCCCATCTTCTACCTCTGCTACCACTTACCCTTGTGCTCTACATCCCCTAGAAGTTTGTCGCATCATTTACAGTACACCCTGTAAAATACTGTAACATGAACATGAAAAACACACTGCAATGCTACAGTTAAAATTCAAATTTTATCCTTTATAGTGTTATGTATTATGAGATCATCAAGATCTCCTCAAATAAGCAAACCAAATGAAGAACCAAACCTGAAATTTTACTTCAATTTAAATAGACAAGCTTCTCAAGTGGGGGGAGGGAGCATAGGAAGAACAAAGAGATACTGAAGTTTTGTTAATACAAGATGAATATCAGAGATTATGAAATCACTCATGCAGCACAGCAGTAAGTATTAAAACAATCATAATAATGTAAAAAAATATATCAGTAAAAGTACAGATAAAATTTTTAAAAATTCATATTCCTTACAAATTATACTTATACCACTAACTGAAGGAATAGTGGCTTTGTCAAAATCTTCAAAGGCAGTATCCCAAACCCCTAGAACAATAAATCCAAAAATCACCAAATATCACCACCAAATAGATGACAAACACCTACTTTCCAAATCTGATATATGATTCCAGCCAATTCTCTGACCCCTTACAAACTTATTCACACAATTCCTATTATATTGCAAGAGGACTGGCTACACACATATAACAAAGGTTAATCTCATAGGATTCCCTAACATATCAACAATATCAAATTTGAATGAAAGTTTCCCACCACTGCAAATATCATCAGCACAAACAGCGAGTTTGTGCTAATTGCCGAGTTTAATCATATTTTGTGAAACGATTTTTGGCATTTGAAAGAAAGAGACTTTTTTTAGAACACTGTGTTGTGAAATTTGTAAAAAAATATCGTTATCATATAAATGCAAGATGTCTGAAATGGAACTATCACGCTACCATATTATAACCATCATTTACTTCTGTTGCAAAAAGTCAGTTACAGAATGTCACCAAATCATGTGTACAGCTTTAGGTATTAATGTTGTATAACCTGACCCTGTGAATGTTTGGTGACAAAAAACATCAGTTCAAAAACAAGGACTATGACATTCAAGAAGCAGAGCACTCTGGCCTGCCTACTGATGTTGATGAGGGCTGCCTACAAGAACTTGTAGAAGATTAGTAAGCAACCAATCAACAGCTTGCTAAGAAGATAGATATTACTGCTATGTCCATTAGTCGTGCAATACATTGCATAAACTTGATGTACAAATTTAATCCCTGGGCACCACATAAGCTGACTGAAGCAGGTAAGGATAGATGCGTTTGGGCCTACACTAGTCTGCACGAATATCAATGCAAAGACAAAATTCTAGACCAGATTGTCACTTGTGATGAAAATTGGACTTACTTCAACAACGCAGGATGAAAAGGGGCATGGTCTATGTCCGGTGAGCCCGTCCGCAGCGTTGCAAAGCAATTTGACTAACGAAAAGATCTTCTTGCTTTGTATCTGGTGGGATTGGCATGGTATTATCCACAAAGCATATCTGGGAAAAGGTAAAGCCCTTGATAGTAAGATGTACAACAAGATGCTAGTCTGTGTTGTGCTGCTATAAAGCAAAAATGTTGAAATGAGTTCCGGTGCAAAAGGTAATGTGCTATCGAGATAAACCACATGTGTCTATTGAGATAAACCACATGTGCCTGCATTCACGGGCTGGACTCTGTACAGACTCTAAAGGGATCTTTAGTTACACCCACCATATAGCCCCGACATTGCTCCTTTGGAATTCAACCTTGTTTTACACATGTAGCTACCTCTTGCTGGTACTATTTTCCATTCTGCATAGGATGTCCAAAATAAGGTTGACCTATTTTTGCACTCAGAACCAAGTTTCTGGGCTGAAGGCTTTGAAAAACTACCAAAATATTGATTAAGAAGTTTTTTTGGGGGAGGGGAGGGGGAAACTTTCATTACATCCAGATATGTCACTATACACCACTATCAAATACATAGCTTAAAACATTGGTAAAAAAAAATGCCACTGCATACTACATATAAATTGGCAGTTCTTTATTTATTCAAACACTTCTTTTCTGACAACAAAATTAAACACTATGATGATATCCAAAGATCATTATATAAAGAATCAATAAGTCATCTACTTCCTTTTAGATTTTTAGGTAGGTTGGGCCATTTTAATAGAATCATGAGCCCCTTGGGTTTTCATAACATTCTAGAATCCTCACCTACACTAACATACTAGAATCCTCACCTACACTAATTCTTTTAAGAATAATAATAAACTTGCCTTAGCATGGCCTTCAACACTCAGGCTTCCTGCACTGCCCATGTAACACTGGATACAGGTTAAATCTATTTTTTCCCATATTGCGTTGTTGATTTTTATTCTCGAGGAAAATGTAAAGTACAAAATGCTCATGGAATAAAAAACTAATTTAGACAATCAACTTTGGCCAAATGGATACATTTTTCACTTTATTTAACTCAGAAATAAATAATTTTATTTTTTAATTACATAATTACAGCTAAAAAAAAGTGGAAGAAATGAAGAAACAAAATTTTCTCATTTCTGCATTACAATTTATACTTAACTGGCTTACAGAAAGGAAGGGAAAGGAGACTAATTACATATATTTTAATTATCCTATGTGTTACTGAACTTATTATTAAGTCCAAGTAATTAAATTTTTACTACATACAGAATATGAAAAATTTTTAATATGCATTAAATTTGTCCAAACAACATACCAGCACTATATGAATGTTCCACACTTGCAGTTGGCACAGACCAGACATTTTCAGAAGGCACCAGTTCACTTGTTCCATCACCAAAATCAAAAAGAAATTGAACATCTGATCCTCTGAACACCCAGGCTTCAAATGTGATGGGCTCAGTAGAATACTGAATGCTGCCATTAATACTGAATTCTTTTTTTACTTCAAAGAGAGGAGCAGCATACAGTCCTGAACGTAGTCGCAAATGCAGCTGTTCTATGGGCTCTACTGCTTGGATAGACGTATTTAGATGAACAACAACAGATTCATAGTCATTGAAAACACGCACAGCAACATGATACATATCCGCAATACCATAACTGTGATTAGCTACACTAACAGTCTCAAAGCTGGTAAAAGAGAAAAATAATTATGTTAAATATATACAAAAATATTTTTTCTAGAAACCAAGGTTTTATTTAAAATTATTAGGTTTACACTTTTTTAAAACTAAGAAATTTAAGAACTTTTAAGGACCACTAATGAAGAACTTTAAGAACCTAACAGCAAGTGAGAACTGAAATTAAAGTAATTATCTGTGCAACCTACTTTCCTATTCATAACACCATTATAAGAACAGAATAGAAGGATATACAGGAAGCATCATCAGAAACATATTCTAACATTTAACATAACTTTTAAAATAAAATGAATTCCCTAAAAATTATCAAGTAATTTATAATAAATTTGTTAATTAATTAAAATAATAAGCTATGAAACTTTTATTTTTTTTTTTTTTACTCAATATAGCCACATATGTTTTAAAGAAGCTACACATTATCATATTAAAAATAATTTTATTTTTTTTAAAATATTCATCAAATTTAAAATACTAAACTATTTATTCTATTAAAATCACAATCTAAGCAAACTGTAAATTTTTGTAAGGTCCTGGATTGTAATACTTTCTCAATACCTCTATTAAAAACTGAGTTACTGAACAGCCTTAAAAATTCAACCACTTCTAGTCATTTCCGAATGAAAAACAAAATCCATTCCCTGAACACTGTATAAGCAGTATTTAGCAAGAGTTCTGCAAAAATATTTATAATATTTACTAAGAATGCAACAATACATTCCAGGACCTAGTACATTTATGTTGACACTGGTAGGTTTGTACAGTATTTGTATAACACAAAATGTGACATTTATGTAAAATACATAAATGTGATCGCATAGATCAGGGTTTCTTAAACTTTTTTCAGTTACGACCCCCTTTTATCATTGAAATTTTTTCACGACCCCCAGGACCCCATATTTACAAAAGTTTTGTGGGGCCCCATAAGTATTGCGCAAATTTGACACACCCGTGAGTGAAACTGCCAAATTTTTTCACTTGTACTGTAATATACATTGCAATTTTAGGTCATTAGTTTTAATTTCTAATTTTAAGGCATAGAACAATGTGAAAATTTTAAATAAGTAACAGACGAAATGACAGCGCCACGAGCAAAGCAAAGAAAATGAAAGTTTATATTATAAAAAGAATGCGTTGAAACATTTTCATTTTTTTTTCTATAGCTGTATTGTCTATTTTTTTATCTATTTTCAGATACATCGTATAAAAATATTTGGTAATTGTAAAATTATTATAATAAGTTAAAGAAATATCAAAACTGCTAAAATTTTTGGCGACCTCCTGCTGCAGGTCTCGTGACCCCCGACCCACAGTTTAAGAAACCCTGTCATAGATGAATTATGCATAGTATTGTTAATTTACTTAAACACACAAAGACTGTCAGCCTTAAAAGGGAAGAGATGCCTTTGTGGAGGACTCTTTAAGGGAAAGTGAATTGTTATACATTACACAGAGAGACATTAAGAGACACAGATTAAAGGAAAAACATGATAATATCTATGCAGGTAGCCTGCTAGCTGGCATTCAAATCAATCAGTATTCAGTGTTATTAACTACTCAGCCACTGAAATGATGCACAATAAGACACTACAAATATAAAATAAAGTAATTATAAAGTGCAACATACTCTGTATTACTTTTACAATGATTATTCTCTCTGTCTTGCACATACGAAAATAATTCCAATATTGTTGCCTAATTCTCAAGAAATGTTAGAACAACAACAACAACAACAACAACCCCCCCCCCCCCCCAAAAAAAAATTACTGTGCAGTACTGAAGAGTATAATGCACAGTTCCAAGAGATGACAGAATTTTGAATTTTAAAAATATGTACTTTACATAAAGGCACTGCATAAGCAGAGAAACAGTTTGAATTGTACATGCATATTTGCGTTTATGGTCAGGATTATTGTAAGAAGACTAATCAGGACATTTGTCTGGCCATATTTCACCATGTCTTAGCCTGTTTCTAATTTATTAATGGTTACCTTCTTTAAATTTTAAATGCTGTTTCAGACTGAGGTAAGCTATGATTGTTGAATCAGCAGGTATAGGGATATACATGCATATAACGGAAACTTGCAATTATATGTAAATGCCAGTAGTAAAGATATAATTACATATTTGAAGCTAATCGTTAGTGGAATATCAAAATTTCGAATAAAATCATCAGCAAAAAGTTGCAAAATATATGTTACTGTTCTACAAATAAACAAGAATTTGTACAAAAGTTTACATGAAAATGAAAGACTAAGAAAAGTATAGCACATTTTCATAATGCATAAATAACTGCAAATTACTGCGTTTCTATCTTCAAATACTTATATTCCTACTGCATTAATAACCTCAACATAGCAAAAATACTACACACATTTTTTTTAAAGAATATCATTTGGTATTTACATATTAACACAAACATCTTGGCACAATTTGGTGATTTTTTTTACAGATGAAAGGCTAAAATATCTATGCAGTCACTACAGAGTTCACGTTACTGGTTTTCATGCTTTTTAGAAAGATTCCTAAACTATCAATATTTATGGTAAATCGGTACACATTATCAACATATGAAAAAAAAAATAAATAAAACATACTTTAGGCATTTAACATACAAATTTGAATTATTAAATAAGGATTACATGATACATTAAAAAATAAAATATTTACATTCTTCTTCAAAAGTTTCTGCAATTTTTTTTCACTGTTCTACTCTTGAAATACACAGTGAGGTGTTTTCTCTTAAAAAAAAAAAAAAAAAAAAAATCACAGAACTGCAAAGACAAAACTTTCGGCTTCATGAAACACCAACAGTGGCTATCTAGGAAATGTATTTTCTCATTTTCCCCTGAAAATTTTCAGCAAAATTTTTTTATTCTTACAGAATTTTACCACAGTTTCTCCCGTAAAGTGTCATTATATAATACTGTACATTATACAATGTATTATATTATAAGAAGTATAAATTCCAGAAGCTCATATTTTAAAACTATGGCAAAAAAACATCAAGATTTGTTTATAAAAACTGCTGGAATTTTAAATAAAAACAAAAAAGATTGCATACAAAAATGGCAGTGTTACTTGATTGAACGATTGTTACGAGCCTGTTGTTAGAAGAGTGGTTATGAGCATGCACATTCTGAAAATCTGGCAGCTTCTACAAAGATGGTTACGTTAATAAGCAAGTACCAAAAATTCTGCAACATAGTTTATTCACCTTTTCTTTCTTTCCCCCCTTTTTTTAAACAAATAGTTGAAATAAATGCTTACCTTTCAACTGTTGTGTACTGGCCATCATTATCTTCACCAAAATCCCACTCAAATCTGAGATTGGATCCATGCTCGACTGAGCACTTTACAACTACCTCCTCAAGCAAAGCAACAACAGATGGGGATAAAAGCTGCAAATATATTCCTGATATTGGAATCTCAACAACTGCAACTGACCAATGCTCAAAACTGCTGATGGTATTTGATGCATTGAGATACATTGCATACACTCCAGCTGATGAATATAAATGATGAACAATGAAAGTTGATGAAAAATTTCCAAGGGGTTCATGTATGAAAAATGATTGATCAAGAGTCGAGTCATACACAGTACTATCTCCAAAATCAACGAAAATCTGAGTTGGTGGAGCATACTGATTGATAGTTACAGAAAGAATGCTAGTTTGGTTCACAAACAAATTAGTAAAGGTAAAATTTAATGCTACAAGAGTTACAGCAGCCTCAAACGACATGGATGTATTCAAGTTCCCAAAAGCGTTTGAAACTGTGACTTCCAACTTGTATTTCCCAGGAATAAGTCTTCTGCTTGTTATTAGCTATAAATTACATAAATATATATACATAAATAATGCATCCATATGCAAATAATAAATATATATACATAAATGAATGTAAATAAACTGTATAAGACAGACAAATAAACTTTATCTAAAATGTTATGACAATGCACATTAAAGCATGCAAATAATTAACTCATGTGAAACTAATAATATAGAAGACCTGTTACTTGATATTTAACCAAATTAGCCAGAACAATCACTGTGTTTTAAGGAAAAATTTACCTAATTAATCATTTCAAAAAATACCACCAGGAAATCAACATTGTGGAGGAGTGAGTATGTATTTTAGCAAATATCATAAAAATAAATCCCCCCTCCTCCATATTTTGTATGATTTATTTGCTTGCATTTCAATAAAAATACTTTTTTCTTCATATAAAATTAAGAGAATTCTTTGACATCATTTTATAAAAAATTTTATACATTGGCTTAAATTGGATTATTTTAATAGATAAGGCATTTAAGGGCTACGTGCCTAAGCTCCAGCCCAATTCTGACTACGAATCCCTCAAGAAGATAGAATATGATGATCTCACACTTTTCTTTCCTACCATTAATTCCTCGAAAAAATTTTAACTCATCAGATTTTGGGGCTTTCATTACAGACACAAATGTCTCAAGCCTTACTTTAGGAATATTAACTAAGATCTATGGCATGGAAATTTGTTAGACAAATATGTCAGTTGACAAAATTCTCATAAATATAATAGTTTATTTTTAAAACTGGTGGGCATAGATTTCTGCTGTAATCTGCTAAAATTGAGGTTTTTATTACACTGCAACATGAAAAATATGACTAGATCAAGTTGCATTACAAATACCAGTAGATATGATTAGCTGTATTTTTACAAAGTTGTATTATTACTGGTAGTATTGGTTTATTACTATGAAATCAGGCAAGAAAAAATTACTAACTGAAAAGATCTCTTCTCTGGAGAGAGGAATTAATTTTCTTTTTTACAAATGATTGAGAAAATGGATATTTAGTACTTTACTGTTACTTGTGCCCCACTAGCAGAAAAGTGAGGGAAATGGGGTATGCTGTTTATTTTGTTTGATGAATAGCTTGGCAATGTTTAATGTACGCAAAGGCTATGAGCAATGCCGAACTGTTCTCCCCCTTATGTACATAGTGACCTGTTTTCACTTAAAAAAATTACAGGATTGCACACATTTGGCATTTAGCATTATATCATATTATCTAATAAATAACTGTTATTACAAGTTAATTTTCCCCATGAAGTTTTACTTATCATTAGGAGTGCCAAAATCTCATTAGAGTCCATGCCAATATGTATGTTTGGATTTAAGTGGTGATTCATTAACAGAAAAATACCAATTATTCAAGAAAAAATGTACTTAAATGCAATATGCAGAAAGCAAAGATTTTTAAGAATGATAAAAAACAATTTCTGTTATTAAAATAAAACATTAATACACAATAGAAGATTTTAAATAAAATTATTACCTTTGTATTGGCAGTAATTTTTTCCTCATCATTTTGTAAAAACCATTTTAGAAGACTGCCTGATGGTGTGGGTTTTATATTTACATCCCACTGATACAGATGAGTGCCTCTGAAAATAAAACAAGAATTTTAGAAACTTATTAAAAAAAAATAATTAACATTTCAATTTTAGTACAGTCTACACTGAAAATAAAAGTTCTATTAAATTAATTAATCTCTGTCATACACACATTTTAAACATATAAGAAAATCAGAATGATATAACTGCTGTTTTAGTAGTTAAATCTTTTGGGAATTTTTATTGTCTGGTAGGCAGATATACCAATATTTTTCAGTGTAACTTTGGCGATGATCTTAATAACAGTGATTCATTTCACAGTAAAAATAATGGAGGCGGTTTGGTGGTACTGGACTTCTTTCTCGATTCTTCGGTAATATTGCTAAATTCTGAGGTAAATTTAAAGATTCAGTTTCAATTTTCGGCAAGCCCAATATATATGCGCCAAGAAAATAAAAAATCAAATCACGGCGAAGCTTGACCTCAAAGAATCGAACAAAACAAAATAGAAAGTGCTTCAGAATGCACTAATGATTTAAGCAGTAGTGAAGCAAGAAGCATTTTCCTGTAATAAAAAATAAAACTATATAAACTGATCCTTTCTTAAAAGGATTGGCTTTTATTTGCTAGCTTTCTGACCCAAAATTGGTAATTATCAAAGTAGGTGGTAATTTATGAAGAAAATATGCTTTTTTATGTGCGGCCAATTAAGCAACTCTACTTTAACATACTTTTGATTACTGTAAAGGCCCTTATTTTCGCGGGCCGTAATTTTCGCGAAAATGAATATATCGGTGATTTCGCGAATTTTATATGAACAGAACCGAAAGTGGAAAAATTTCAAAAGTACCTAAGTAAAGTTGAGAAAGAAAGTTGGGGGGGGGGGAAGTATTTCGCGAGGCTTAAATTTTCGCGATTACGACGAGCTCGCGAAAATTAAAGCCTCGCGGAAAAAAAAAAAAAAAAAAAAAAAAAAAAAAAAAAAAAAAAAAAAAAAAAAAAAAAAAAAAAAAAAAAAAAAAAAAAAGGCCTTTACAGTAATAATAATAATAATATAATAATAAAAAAAAAGTATTTTTTCCCCCATCAAGTACTCCCCTTCTACTTTTTTCTGCATTTAATTTAGAAACTTGTGATTTATGGTAACAATGTAAAATGTATCCTTATATAAGCATACATTTTACATTGTACTATTACAAGTACTTTATTCTGTAAATAAAGAGATAATTGAAACTGGTAAGTCCTCTGAAAAACATAATATAACAACATTAATATGTCTTTATGTGTGCTTTAATGTACTACGCTTATCAGTTAAGCCGTCTCTTCAGAAATAGTATTATATCACTTGTTTTACATCCTCCGGATAAATCCTCAGTAAAATTAACAGGAAAAGGGGGGAAGTATGCGAGAAAATACGGCATATTTTCTACCAAAAATTGTAGGAAAATAATTATACAACACCTATGATATAATACATCTTAGCATGTTTCAATTTATCGCTGTTGTATTACTATACATAACACGCTTACGCACAAAAATATGAGCACAAAGACTTTTCATTTAATTGTGCATTTAAATAGTAACCAAGGATTATTTCTGTTAAACTTGCACTTTTATATTTTTATTAGTTTTGTTTCAGGTTTGCCTTGTTCTTGAAACCTGGCTCTTCATTACTCCATTTGTTGTTTAATCCTGAGAGTATTATAATAAGAAAAATAAACAAGTGACTGATTAATTTTCAGTCATCATCATGTCCTATCAAACTATTCAATTCTACCTCACAATTTTTCCTTTTTTAATAATTATTGAATATTTTAATACCAAGCAAAATTATCCCCTTCCAGAAGAAAAATCTTACATTTTACATAATATACTATCGATTTCGAAAGCAGATTAATACAGATATCTCTTCTTCAGGAGCCCCTCGCCCTCCTCCTCCACCCCCCCCCAAAATTCCAGTTCGCAAGCAAAAGTTATTTTATTTACCAAAGAAAGAAGATAATATCAGCTGTTCTCGAAATTGATTGATTTCTATGTAATATATATATTACACAAAATCCTATCAACCTACACAAAATTCAATGCATATACATATATGCATTGAAGCATGCAAGCTAACACTATGGCGAATTGCAATAGATTCCTCTAAGTCAGAATGGCAGTTTTACACTAGCGGCTACAAAAACAAATGGGTAGAAATGGGACATGTTGAAAATGCCATTTTCTGATTCCCGAGGGTTTAAAATATAGAGAAAGTTAAAAATGCTAAGCTAGCAAAACTTCTGTCTTGCAGAAAGGAAAGTTTCCGAAAGTATTTCGATTAAACTACAGCGCAGGTGCGGGTGACAATCACTCCGAAAATTCCTTTTCAACTACAAATAAAAATTTGAGTAAAATAAGGATTAAATAATGTAAAAAAAGTAACTGCTTTACCTAATTAGTACATTATAATAATATTTATTCATAATTCGTGCAAAACTCTAAAAAAGTATCTACATGTATTTGAAAGCAACTGAAATATGATTATATTCCGCAATATTTTATTATATGTTTTAATAAACTAACAAAGAAAAATTAATTATAGTTTTAGATTAGTTATTTAAATTCGCTCGCACAAACGACTGAACCACGTAGTATATACTTCGTGGACTGAACTAAGCTACGAAAAATCTGTTATATAAACAACCATATATAGAGAGGCGGAGGACCATTGGACCATGAACTAGAGATTCTTTGATTGAACTGCGGTGCTTAACCACCGGGTGCCTGGGCGCCATAGCCCTACCCCTCATCGAATAACATGATAAAAATTTCGAATTATGAGAAATATAACTGAATGTCCTAAATAATTAAATGAGTAAGAGTTTAAATTCATAACTGCTAATAGTTAAATACGTATTTTTTTCCTTAAGTACCTAATTACTAATCCATACATAATTAACTATTTTTTTAACAACTATTTCACAGAAGAATACATGTACACACAAGAGAAACAAAATACGAAGTGCGACGCCTTAGTGCCACTAGTAAAAACAAAATGCAATCAGGAGGAGAAAAGAACAATATACAATAAAGAATCTGAGCAACAATTTGCATAACACATATACAAAATTACATATTACTAACATTTAGGATCGCCCTTGGGCGTTTACTGAAATTGGGGTCCCTAGTATCATAACAAAAGTTAACAACCCCAGGATTGTCCAGAAGTTCCTGTTTATCATAAAATGCCCTAGATAGGCGGCAGTAAAAATCACAAAGATCCTCTATTCTTAACTCTTTACGAATTTGGCTCTTCCGAATGTACCAGGGGGCATTACATATCATACGCAATACCCCGTTTTGGGCAGCTTGTAACTGCCTTCTCAAACTTTTGCACGAGTATGCCCAGACGAGGCATGCATAAATAAGAATTGGACGCAACATGGTTTTGTAAATCAGCAACTTATTATCAATAGATAGAACACTGTTTCGAGCAATTAATGGGAAGAGTGAAGCTTTACTAGCTCGAAACTTCCTGAGAATATGTGTAACGTGTGGGTTCCATGTAAGAGATTTACTGAGGATCACCCCAAGATAAGGCACCTGCTTGACCCAGGGAATGTCCGCACCATACATTTGCAGGTGAGTCGGAAAATTCTTCTTAAGCCGTTATCACATTAGCTGTTTGTTGCCGGGACAAAAGTTTGTAGCAACAGTTCTGAGAAACGGCCTTTGGCGAAATAGGGTTACCATCTTCACTTGGCAAACAGGCTGAAAGCCAAACAAGAATCAGTTATCGCTCAGATTGGCGAAAGTGACGTTTCCTTTCAAGTGACATTCGCTTCTTCGTGTTGTTTTGTATCGCTCACACGCTTTTCGTTTTAAAACTTTTATTGTTAATAATGGGAAGATAATAGAAAGGTGATTGCTATTAAGTTAATCACTTTGATCTCCACTCTGGCACTTCATGTAACAGATAAACACACTTCTGGTTATAGCAATCAATTACATCAGTAATAGCCAAATTCGGTATACACTCTAAGAATAGTTTAAAAAACATGTGCTGGGTTAAGTCTATTTATCACACATCTCTTATGTGTATTTTCTGTTGTCTGCATTTCAATGAAAATTTGATGGCTCACTGGAAAATTTGTGACCTGGTGAAAGCATTTTCTGACTAACTTTATGGCTCATAATTACTGTTTTGTCCATTCAAATGACAAAAATCTATATGGCTGATATTTACCTCCTCACAGCCAGCAGATACTATTTAGGAAAATGAAGATCAAATAAAGCATATGAATACATGAGCAATCAAACATGTGCGAGTTGTTTACTGTCCCATAGAACACTCGGTAATATACCTAAAACACATTAATTATACCAACTCTAGAAATTAGGTGTTCACATCATGAGTTTGTTTTATGGTTTGATTTATTGAGATTACAGCAAAGCACACTAGGGCTATCTGCCTAAGGGAAGGGATGCCTTCGGGGAGGACTTTCTAAGGGGAACTGGCTCGTATACACGCTACACATGGGGAAAACCACAAAAGCTTCCATTCAGCCAGCCCGTTCGTGGGATTCGAACCTCGGACCGAACTACCAATGCTCAGCGACTTTACCGCTCGGCCGCTGGTGGGCTCAGTTGGTTTTATGTGATTACCGCAAAGCCTCGAGGGATAACAACAGGAGGGATCCCTTTGTAGAAGATTTTTTAAAACTGGCTCGCATACCAGTTACAAATGGAGCAAACCAAGGAAACGTCATGTAGCCAGCCCGTTCGCGGCATTCTAACCTGAGACAGAACTACCAGTGTTCAACGACGCTTCGACCACTAGTAGGCCCGTGCAGTTAATTGGAAAGTGCAATTCATTATGTAAACAGACATGAAGGTGATAATCAGTTGTGCGCCCGTTTTAAGTAATCAAAATGTTATAAATGCACAGCTGTTACATTTCTTATTATTATTAGTCATGTTTTTATTACGTAGATCATACGTATGATATAATTATGAATTAACCCAATAACAAAATGTGTACACTCTTTAGTACTCTAATACTCATCAAT